AATTAAAAGTAATTTTTTTCTCAGTCTTATCTACAATTCAAAGAATAAAAAAATTTCTCGATTATTTTTTGTATTTAATAAATAGTACGAGTTCTTATATTTAAAGACATAGATTTTTGACAAATACAATTATGCTAATTAATCTATTCTAGTCAGACTACTTATGCAAGTTTATCGTGAAATCGATATAAAAGAGGACGAAATCATATATTTTGCCGGCATTATTTTTTCCGATAATTCCAAATTATGGAAATAGCCCAGTCTCCGATTTTACAAGCGGCAAAATCACGGTTAAAACGTGTTCCACTACACATCGTTTATGACAACATTAATATTATTAATCGTTACTTTAATTACCACTGTTCAGTATTCATTAGGCTTGTACTTTTCTCCAATATTAATACGGCTACGAGCGTGCATCTTTTTAACACGTACGAGTTAAAGTAGGGCTCGATGCTGACTTCGACTTTCGCCTTGAAGATTAATTGCGAATTAATACGATGACGAAAAAGCGGTACAAAAATTATTTAAGATGCTATCTCGTTCCTGTGCAATTATATGCGAACGGGATCGCCAATCGCGGGTGTCGTCGTGTATATCGCCCCGATGGCAAAGTCATAACTCTCGAATGTCGCTGAAATAATTACGGCGAATGGCGTGCTTAATAAGTCATCGACGGAAAGTCACTCGAAAGTATCATCGTATTAATTTAATTCAAAGAAGAGTTCATGAATTGATCTCATTAATGCATCGATAATTTTATAGTTTTAACTTGAGATCTTCGACAAATCTTTATCATAAATTTTTATTTAAGAAATGTATAATAAAAAAAAACAAATTTAAATTATTATAATTTATTCGTATAAAAATAATAAAATTATACATAAAAAAATACCGCATGATATCATGATAAATAAAAATCAAATTATTGCATTTATAGGAGATCCAAATTTTTTTTTATTTTTAACTTATGTTAGCATTTAACATGACATTAACATGACGTTAGCATTTTTAACTTGAAGTTTTCGACCAATTTTTATCTAAAATTTCTACAAGAATTATGTGATAAAAAATGTATATTAAAATGATACGAAAATAAAATTGATGACGTTGAGGAAAAAGAATCCTGATGCCCTAGTTTTTGCTGAATTATTATAATCTTTAGAAATACTGCGCGAGATACACGTAAATAAAACAAGCGTGGGAAACGCGCAGAAGTGCGAATAATCAGACTAACAGATCGATATAAAGACAACGAATGTTTCCGAAGGCAATTTTCCAACAAGATGTTTTACGCTTCAATGAGCCACACGCACTGCGTTTTGCAATTCTTCAATAATTCTGCGGAAAGATTTATCCTGAAAAGGATAATATAATATTCTAAAATCTTCAATTCTATTGTTTTTTAAATGATAAAAATAATAGATAATAATAACTTTTTTTTAGAAATATTTGAATGATTTTCTAAACTTTTGAATTTCCATCTCGAATTGAATTTATTTCTCCAAAAGAATAAGTCAATCAGACTTTAATCAATTTTCTATCGTCCGCAGTTCTTAATATCCCACCCGCATCTGAGGGTCTTACTACTTTTCGAGGTAATTTCTTGTTGGAATATCAAATGGTCGCCGATCTCTCGGGAACGCTTTCCGCTTTCCAACAGCAATCTAGAAAGCTTTCAGTTGATTAAATTTTAGTCGCGCGACTCCCAAAATGCTTTCCATCTTCTCTGCAACAGCGACGTTACCTCGGTTGTTGACCCGCCCAATTTGCACAATTTTATTGCTTTGTTTCGCAACAACTCATATTTCCCAACCTTTCGGATCGATGAAGCTGCGCAGCATGTTCCGAAATGTCTCCGCAAAAAGTTGAAGTTGGCGAAGCTCCTATTATTCACTGTCGTGTTGTACGAATAAAATGCGCGTTTTATTACGCGTTTTAAAAAAAGAAGTTGTTTAATCTCCTTGCCTCGCCGTTTAAATCACTTTTTTTACAGCCGTAGAAATCGTTCGTTTGCATTCGCAAAGTGCTCTCGCAACGAAATGAGTTTAACTTCGTCCGTAATTGTAGTCATTGTTCGGCGCAATTTTGTTACATTTTGCGGGGGACGCGCGCGCGAAAAGATTCTTTTATCGGAGGTGGTTCTCGACTCTCGCCTCTTCGTCGATGGCTCGATTTTATGACTCGTAATACGCAGCCGAGACACGCTTTGCGAGCGGATGAAAAAAAAATGACGAAGAGATTGACTTTTAGTGGACACTTCATGCATTGAACGCGTGCATCTTAAGCAACAGACCGAAGCGAGCAGGGAGAGGTAGGCGGAAAAAAGCGATTTTGGTGCCATTACGTCATCTCTTTTGAAAGATTGACGTGCTCGTCCCGCCGTGTCGAATGGAGCAAAGAGCGTGCTACCCTAGATTAGCATAACAAACGTGTACTGGAACACTTTAACCGCACGAAATGCTTGAATGCCGACTAGCAGGATAGGGTTAAAAATATAACTTCGGTCGAGCTTATCACTCGACGTAATTGAATGAGAAAATATCCCAATTAGAAAGTATCTAATTTAGTTTCCAAATCAATTTCAACCTGTCGATAAAATTAAAAGCTTGAATATGAAAGCTGGACTCTATATTTTAAATAAAAATAAAGCATCTGTCTTAATGTTAATGTTCGATAAATAATAAATCGATCATTGCAAGCATCAATAATAAAATTATTGCAAATAAAGTAAACTTTGATAGAAATAAGAAAGTATAAGAAATGTTAAATCTTAATAATAAATTTGCCTTAAAAACGTGTTATATTTATTTAAGTTAATAGATACAGAACAAAAAGCTGATATATTAAGATGATTTATTGCACGCAATTGTTTCTTTGGCAAATTTATTTATCAAGTCTGACTTAACTTTAAAAAAATGCTTTTACGACAGGAACAACATTATTCCATTTGGCGAAACACGTGTTCGCGCCCGACAGCGATAACGAAAGCGGAACTAAAGCGTCTAAAATCGACGATCGGCGAGGCGTGAGATCGAACATCGAGTCCACGATCGAAAAGCGATTAAGGAATCAGTCAAGACTGTATTTCCTCGTCACAACGAGGTGCAAAGGGGCGATTTCTCACGATTGCGAATTATTATTCGCTTGCATATATTCTGTGAATTGTCTTTCATGAGCACTGATCGACTCTTGCGATCAATACAGAAATGATTCGATTGGAAATAGATTTTTCTTCTCGACGGATTAATGAGAGAAAAATGGCCCAAAGCTTTCGATACGTCCAGAGATAAATCTCGTTATTTTCGTGAAACGAAATCATTTCCATGACGAACAAATCAGGAATATTTAAAAAAAAAACGGAAAAAGAATAATAACAATTCTTAAACAGATTAATGATGAGTAAACGAGCATATTACAAAAATATCGGAAATAATTGGCGCCCAATTTAACAAAAAAATAAATAAATAAATAAATAAATAAATAAATATATATATATATATATATATATATATATATATGAATTCTGCTGAAGGCACTATTTATCGTCATTAAGAAATGGCAATCAATGAAAATAAAATATAAAATAATGGCAATAATGGTAATTAAAAAAAAGATAACTGAAACAATATAAATTATATTAAAATAAATGATAAAAATTTTCACTTAATTTTTTTATAGCGATATCCTATCGAAATTTCATCGAATATAATTATGATCAATGTAATTAATTAACACAATCAGATAAAATGAGAGAAGATACGAAAAGAGAAAAAAATGACATATCACGCAATGCCAAAAAAGAGATATTTAATTTACGGATTTTCTTTGATCTAGACGATGATTTGATGCACTAAAAATAAAAGAGATGGGAAGAACGAACAATATCATCAATAAGACTATTTTATTAAAAGATATGGAACATGTTTCTGAAACGCGTTTCCCGAATTTATAACAAATTCAAATTAAAATCTAATATAAATCTAGTAAAGTATTATATTATTATATTTCTTAGTTGAGAATAGAAAATGTAGTAGTGAAATTTTGAGAGAGAAATCCATATTATTTTAAGTTTGTTCAATGAATATTGTTCATTATTTATATCATATGCCATTTAATTTAGCTCCATGTGGAATAATATCCTAAAATATCATCCAGAGTTGACAAATGTTATTATATTTGATAAAACTCTAAAAATAAAATTAACTAGAACAAGATGTATCACAGAGATGTTACATCAATCCCATGTGCTTTGAATGCATTAATTTTTTTTAATAAAAAGCTTTTCGTTTTTTCTACTTGTTTTTTTCTTTCTTATTTTAAGAGAATATATATAATTGCACACATACATACATATACAATTGATTCTGGTCCAATAATTTTATATATGAAATTAAATTGAAATACATCTAATAAAATAAAAAATTAAAAAATTATTGGTTAATTAAAACTTATTAAATGTATTTTATATACGCAAATCTTTACATATGCAAATCTATTGTGTCAAAATAATTTTACATTAAACGAAAAATCTTCTATTTTAATGATAATCTGACTCATTGGAAATTTTTATCGAGTGATATGAAGTAAAATAATTTGATACTAGATAACACACCTGCATCTTATCAATCGATTTTAGAAAAGATAAAATACAAATTTAATTCATATTTTTAATAATTTTTATATAATAAGGAATTATTCATATATTCAATATTAATTTTATATCACAAAAAAATATACATATGTACATTCACACATATATATACACATATATATTCTAAGAGATTGAATTTTTTAAATCTTCAACCATTTAGTATCCCAAAAATATTAAGATTTAGGAGAATTTTCCAGTTTTTATCTCTGAACTGATAATAATTACATACATCTAATACCTGATATTTATCAAAAAAGATCATTTGTATCTAAAATCATTGCATAATTCTGTACATTATTTTAAAAGTGTTTTGACTTTAAATCAGGTACTCGTAGATAATGCATAATCTTATCATCGTAGATCCAATAAACAAGATCTAATTTTGTGTATATAAAGTCGAAAAAAAAGTGCAGAGCATCAGTTTTCGGAATCATCAGTAGAAGTACAGCAGTATTCCGAAGGTAAGCGTCAATTGTCTGAGTAAGACATTTTAAGCATTAGTTATAAATGTAATAATAACGAATAAATAGTTAGCAAAAGTTATAGATGTAATAATAACGAATAAATAAGTAATGTGAGTAATATTATAAATAATTTACTTTCTATTTTAGTTATATTATTTTTTTAAATAATCAAAAAAATTAAATAATATAATTAAAAAACAAAAATATTTTAAGTATTGTACACTATCATAATTTTGGAAATATTTTTCTACTAGAGAAAAAAATAATCCTTTATGTAAAAATTAATATTTAAAATTAATATTTTTTTCATTAATATTTATTATTTTATGATCACTAATTTTGTTTTATTAATTATCAATGATTTCGTTAAATATTTCGAATTGGATTCATATTCTGCATAATAGAGAGAGAACATACATATTTTTAAATGGATAGATTTATTCATTAACAATTATAATCACCAAATAAATAGATTTCTACTTTTATCAGTTCCACGCTTAATTAAACTAACTTATACTTCAAACAGATCAATATGTTACGATATATTTCAATTAGGAGTATATAATAGAAATGGGAATTATGTGAGCAATATTTGCAATTTCCATTTCCAATTTTTATTAATATTTAACCGATATTTGTTGATGCACACAATAAAAATTTATTTTTAATCTAATTGTTGCATAAATCCAGTTGAGTAAAATCAATTTTATTTGTTATTTTCTAGTCAATCTATTAGTTTATTTATATATATATATATATATATATATATATATATATATATGCCCTATATATGTATACATATCAAAATATACACATAAATGCGCACATATTTAAATATATCAATAATTCCAGCGAAATTTATTTTTGTAGATGAAATTCGCATTAGCACTCTTAGCTCTCGTGGCTACGGTTTCCGCTGGGAAGATCGAGCTCCCTAATTTCGGTAGAGGCCAGCTTCATAATGACATCCAAGATTTCATCGACCTGATAGATACGGATAAAGTAATCAACATCTTTCTTCAATACGTAGCTGAAGATGCTGAAGTCAAGGACGCAATTGCATTCTTGGAATCTGATGAATTCAAAGGGTTGGTAGTGAACGTCGAGCATATGTCTGAGGTTAAAACCTTGATGGATTACATCCATCATGCCGGCATTGACATTTACCAAATCGTAAACTTGTTAAACGATTTTCTTAAACTCGGTCATCTGACTCCGCCCGACTTTACTCAACGTGTACATAAACAACTCACCGGTGGAGTCCGTGGACTCGTTGATGACATTCTGGCCGTTTTGCCCAAGGACGAGCTTAACGACTTATACGAGAAGAAGCTGAAGAGCTCTCCAGAATTCGCCAAGTTTGTCGACCAATTGAAGTCCGATAATTTCCAACAAATTGTCAATAAGGTTTACGCTAATCCCACATTCCAAAAGCTCCTGAAACGTGCCGATGAAGCTGGAATTGATCTTGAACTCATCAAAAATTTGCTGAAGGTTCTGTGGGGCATTGATGTTCCGCCCCGCCCCTCTCGTTTTCATGTACGTAGATTCTAGACGCCAGCGCATTGTATAAAAAACAAGAATTTCCACATACTACTATATATATATATCGAATAACTTTCAAAAAGATATTGTAATCTCGCAGAAATTATAAATTCTTTGGTCATGTAATTTTACGCGTACTTTACTTATATGAAATAAAAGCAGCTTTCTATATATTCCTACATTTTTTCCTCCGATAAAAATATTCCCCTTCAAAACTTTTCTTAGTTTACTCTGTCGAAAATTGCTTCGGACATGATCCAAATTACTGGACCATTCATATCGCGCGATGCATTTCTTTTTGCATTGCTCCGGACCGTTCCCACCCGGTCAGGCCAGGTCGAGATAAGCGAGATTATGCTGGTACGACCGGCCGACCTGCCAAACTCGTTTTCGCGCGCTCACGACAGCTTAACTCCGTGAATGGAAGTGAGATTGGGACGAGTCTTCTCCCTTGCGTAATTATCCCGTCTTTTGCGTCTACCGAACATAACATCGGGAGAAGGGAGCAAGGGAGATATTTATTTTATTCTATTATAGAATAAAGACCACCTACGAATAATGATAGAATAGTGCTTAAAGAAAAAATAAATTGCCAAAAAGATTTCATATAAAACAGAATAGCAGAATATACATGTAGAAAATTTTAAAAATATAATCACGCTATATTATAATTTTTATAATATAACAATAACTATATATATTAATAATTTATTAATAATAATTCATCAATAATTTGAGAATAATTTATTAATATTAATTCATATTAATAATTTTAGAAATAATTTTTAATAGTAGGAAAAATTTGGAAAAACAGACATTGATATTTATATCAGAAAAAATTACACGAGGGTGATCTTTGTGAAAAAATATTCTCATTATTCAGCTTTTCTCTCCTGGAATATTTTACCTGATCGATTACGAGAAGTGACAGCTTGTATCGCAGGCGCGCGTATAGACGACAAATCCAAGTTTAGAGCGTCTCGTAAAGATACCACGGAATTGCATATTTTCAAGAAAGGAAAGAAGGGGGTGCTCTACCAACGAGCGTGGCTTTTAATTAATGGCGCTTTAGAGTATACGTGTCGCGGGACCGATTTACGAGCCGGCATGCGCTGGCACGTCGTGTGACTAGGATTTATGGTACCGCACCGGTGTTTCCCGCTAATATTTAACCGTGTTGAAAGAGGTTAGCGAGATGCCGCGGGAGGTACATACTCTACGCGGATCGTGCGTGTTCTCAAACGACGACGATCGACTTTCTCGCGCAACCCATCGGGCGTGCGCTCCTCGCGATGCTCGTCGAAGGCGGCGGCTGCAAAGGATATATCCGCTGATCGGATATTCCCTAGACTATTTAAATAATATATTATATAAAATCATATCAAATATGATTTCGCTTAATTAAATTTTTTTCATTTATACTATATAGGTGACATGATTCCTGCTCGTTGGAGCAGATTTGACCCAGTTTATTAATAAATTTTGGAGTTCTAACAATTTAGCGTTAATATTAACATCTATTTCTTTTCCAATCTGATCATTCTTTTCAATACTCATTAGGTAAGAATGGTAGTAAATGAAAAGAATGAAATATTTTCCGTATAAGCCAAAAAATGGCATATAATAATAATAGTTTATGTAGAAATTCGATAAATTAACAGAATTATTTTAGATTGACGCAGATACTCCATCAATGCCATTTAAATGATTTCGCTTAATTAATTTTTTTTCATATATAATTAAGTAACATATAATTTCTAATTGTTAAATTATTAATCATCGCATTATTAATATTAATAGACTCCAGTTAATCAACAGATAAGCCTTGCAGATAATTCTAATAACTTGACATTAATATTGTCTGTTTCTTCCTAACAGCTCTAATCATTCTTTTTATAGTCAATACTCAACGTAAGAATAATGTTAAATAAAAGAATTATTTTCCATACATAAACAAAAAAGTAATTAAAAGAAAATAGTGTGCATATCTGTCTATGAAAAATACTTTGTAAATAGCATATACCTCACAGAATAATTCGATTTTTACAATAAATGTAATAATCTGTCCTTTCCAAGACATTTTTGACAAGTTAATTACTATTTAAATTATGATATTTTATTTGAAATAATAACGAGGGAAATTGAAAAATTATACGTGCCATATTTTTCGAGCATATTTTTATTTTAACAAAACAAACAACGTTTTAGATAGATAAGACATTATTAAACATTGTTATACAATTATTATTGCATGCATGTTAGACATTAATTCTAGGACTTACCAGATATGATAAACACTTTATAACCCAATAATAGCTCCACGTACTCAATGTAGTGCTTATGAGTTGTGAAATTTATAAGCTTCGTATCTCGCTCTTATAGCACTTATAAGCTTCGAGAAAAACTCCATGCAAATCGAGTTCCATTCACGATGTACAATTGACACTTGTCACAATACTACCCACGAGGTTCAATCGCGTACAGTATGTACCACGAATATAAATAATCTGGTCTCACCTGTCAGACGACTTACATAAACGAATAGCGATATATCGCGAGGAGATTCCAGTGTTCACTTACAAAGTCGATTAGAAAATTCGATAAAGACGATAAAAAAACTGGCCTCCAATGTGTCTCGTTATCGCGTTTCGATACAACTCTGACGCAATTAATATCTGACGTAAGACAGGTTTCTTTCATCAATCGAGCGATTAATCAGAGACAACACTCGATTACAGTGTACCGACCTACGACAAAACTGTTTCGCTTTCGTAAGATGCGAATCACCCTTCATTCATTCTATCGCGCCATCGCGTAAATGAATTATGGAGCAAAGCGTGCTCCGAAAATTCCGACGATTCCTTCTGTATCCCCGATACGCATATCATATGATTCGAATTTCCCGTCCGACATAACAAAAAAGGAAAAACTTGAAGAATGAGGAAAACGAAAGAATTGTTCAGTTTTTCCTCTCGTGCGCTGCATCAATCCCTCACGCACGATCGCGTGCCATCGCGCGACGCACCCTCTCGGGAACCTCCCCTCGCTCGTCAACGCGTATTTGTCGTCATCGAGAGAGGAAGCATTTCCCTGAACAATCACACGCGCACCCTCGTGTGTCCATTATCGCACCCGTAGCACTGGAAGTCGATCACGATTCGTCCCGGGAGGATATTCAGCGCGATCGAAGAACAGAGGAGAAGATGAGATGACAGTCTCTCGGCACGCCAAGATCAACCGACAACACGTGCGGCACGAAGAACAACGCGTAGACTGCGTACTGCGAGACAGCAGCCGGATCGTATCGTACCGCGGCTACGACGGCAATGCCCCCGCGTCGGAGGCTTAAGCGCCGCCGACGCGGTCGGGAACCCCGACTGCGGTCCCCCCACCACGGGGAACCACCGGCCGACCGTTCCCCACCGCCGGTCTCTTTCGGTGACATACACAACACCGGTTTCCCCGGCCTGGTACGTCGACTTGCGCCCGACCGACGATGCGTCCGGGGTGCGCGAGCAGCTTTCCCTGCTTCGGGTAAATCGTGGCGACGATGAGTTTTCGTCTCATGGGATCATTGGAGAAAGCATCATGGACCGATTAAAATTTTACATCATTTTCTTTCTTTCTTAAGTCCACCAAATTCTCGAAAAAAAATTTGTAATAGATCCTAAGACTGCTTCGGATAAATCGTGGCGACGATGACTTTTCATCTGATCATGAGATCATTGGAGAAAGCATCATGGACCGATTAAAATTGTACATCATTTTCTTTCTTTCTTAAGTCCACCAAATTCTCGAAAAAAAATTTGTAATAGATCCTAAGACTGCTTCGGGTAAATCGTGGCGACGATGACTTTTCGTCTCATCATGGAATCATTGGAGAAAGCATCATGGACCGATTAAAATTTTACATCATTTTCTTTCTTTCTTAAGTCCACCAAATTCTCGAAAAAAAAATTTGTAACAGATCCTAAGACTGCTTCGGGTAAATCGTGGCGACGATGACTTTTCGTCTCATCATGGAATCATTGGAGAAAGCATCATGGACCGATTAAAATTTTACATCATTTTCTTTCTTTTTTAATCCACCAAATTCTCCAAAAAAAAAAAATTTGCAATAGATCTTAAAGCTCGGATAGAATCAAATTCACGTAGCTTGCAAATATACCTCGAAATGTCAAACACGAAAATCATTATATAATCAATATTGATCAAGTACATTAAGAAAATGATTTTGTTTCTGTTTTGCGCTTTTTGCAAAAATATTGAAAATCGTATGATTTTCTTGTAGGAATATTTATTATATTGCACATCATTAACTACAAATTTAAGAGTAGAAATTATTAGCTTTGTATCAATCATAAGTCCTAGTATAAATGCTGAATCAAAATGAAGTCCTATGGTATTGATTATATAAACCTCTTTCATGAAGATGTAAGATCAGCGAATGTCATCATGTTACTATATTATTATGTTATTATACTATGTTTGAAATATATTTCATGGAAGTACTCATGAGACATCATTTCACTCATGAAATTTATAAGATGATGAAAAATATACAAGAAATTGTTGAAGATTATTAACGAATTGATACATGCGAATAATACATACGTAACTCTCTATAAATTAATTAAACATTGCTTCTATGAAATATTTTTCTAATTCTAGAATTCTGTACAAGTTTGAAAAATCTAAAATTTATGTTATTCTATTACTAATCGTCGGAAAAAGAGATAATTTTATAAGAGAAATATGAAAATCATTAAACAAGAAAATTTTTTACAAAAGCATAGCCATTCTTACATTTATCAGCTATTTATATTAGCATAGATTATTAGCACATTTGCATCATGACCGATGTTTTACGGAAATATGATTACAGAAATATACAAGTTGCTAGAAATAACTAACAAACTAACAAGCGAATGAAATATGTGCTATCTATCTAAAAATTGAATAAAAAATTGTAAATAATTAATTATTTAATAATACTCTTTCTTGTTTAACGAGAAAAAACAATATTGGCAAGATGTAGTGAGGAAAAAAATATTTAAAAAGGAGAGGAAAAAAAAAGAAAAGATGGATAAAAGAGGTGTAAAAGAAGAAGATGGAAGAAGAATCGTCGAAAAAAGATAAATTATAAATTGAATAAAACTCTTGCAAGAGATCTTTTAAT